AATACAGTTTCGTGAACGCGCTATCTGCCGATCTCGAACGAAATCTCGAACGATCCTTCCATGCGAGACGTCGTAACGCAGATTGCTTTACGCGGCCGTGCCATCGTCGGTGGTTCCGATTGGAAAATGTCCTCTCGGCGAGACACTTCGCCGTCGTCGTCGTCGTCGTGTTCGGAAGGAAAGGAAACCGCCAGCCGCGAAGCGATGACGATAAGCGAGAAGTCGTGTTCTTTCGGTCTCAAACCGGGCGAGCCGCGATAGCGTGCGTTAACTCTCTCAGCTTCCTCCCACACACACACACACACACACACACTTTGCCATAGGGTTTGGTTCCAGCAGCGCCGCGATCGCGGTTCAAAGTTCAAACTCGATTTAACTTTGAAATCGGGTCCGCTCGCGTTGACCGGTCGATGGCTAAGTGCCGCCCGCCGCCGATGCTCTTCCGCGCGCGCGAGTGTCCCGAGAATTCAGGCTCTTTAGCGCGCGCGCGCGTTCGCTCTCTCTCTCTCTCTCTCTCTCTCTCTCTCTCTCTCTCAGAGTCCGCAATTACTTAATAGTCATCCTAAATAACTGAGGCACAGCAAATCAAATATCGATGCATGCCCGTTTTTCAGTCGTCGCTCTCTGTGCTTGATAATACGGCGCGTGATACGCGCTTAACGCTCGATTCACGATTCAACTGCGACTCTTCGCGTATTTTTTCCAGTTTTTCGGGTTTATTTTACGGCCGGGACAATTTGCCTCCAGAAGGCAGTAAATTCTTTTATCTGTCCGGCCACATTTCCCTACTCCCGGGTTACCACTAATTTCATATTATTCGAGCGCGGAAACCGCGAAAAAATATTGTGATGCCGCGGATAAGGAGCGCATGTACCGTTTAACACGCCCATTTGCCCGAATGATTAACACTCCTGCGTCCACGTGCATGTCCCCTCGCGGACATGCTTTTTCTATTTTTTGCGATGTAAACATATAATTTTATAGTCACTCGTTCCGGCCTCGTGCCCATATTCTGAGTTTTGATTTAAGTTAATTTTTTTTTATCACACCGACACCGCGGTTAAACGCGATAATAAAACGAAGCGACAGTGAAAAATTATACAGATCTCAAAATTGGATTTTTGAGCATCATAAAAAAAACCGTTCTTGAAGAGTTTGTGAAATCATGTGAAAATATCTTGCGAGCAATTCAACAAGCCTCTGCACCTCAACAAGTACAGAATAAAGATTTATATATGCAGCATCGGATATAATTATTGCGCGAATGTGTTTCATCTGTCTACAGCTCGAGGAGGAGAGATTCTCATTCGCAGACAGCAATGAAACGTTGCGCGGCGTATAACTTGTTCCTTTTCGCGGGCCATTAATTACACACGCGAAGCAAATCTATCGGAAAGCATTATCATCGCGGCACGTCAAAATTATGTACTTACCCGGGCATCCTGCTGTTCACGGTGCTGCGCCGTGATTAATTACGGCAACTCGATCGTTTTATCACTTTTTACGCTCGTCCGGAGGCGTTATACCGTGTAACATTATACGAAGCGTCCGCGCATTCGACCAAGTCCGCCGATGTAGTTAGTGACTCTTTAGCTCTCTCTCTCTCTCTCTTTCAAATTGTCGTACGACGATATCGGCCGCGTCCTGACATTTTTATACGCGACGTCGCCCGCGCGCGCTAATGCAGGGCGAGTTTATGCATTTAACGACGCGTACGCGCAGGGAGGTTAAACGCATGGATTGCTTTTTTCTCTCTCCTCTACCACCGTTGCACCGCGCCACGCCACACCGCACTGTGCGAATGAAATTTCCGCGATTCGCCCCGGTATGAAATACTTTGAATAATTCGTGACGCTTGTTGGCCAGGGGATGCAATTGCGAGTTATATTTTTTTTTTTTTACTATCGTCGTTATTTTAGGCTCGAGCGTTACATCCATGGATTTTGGAGGGATCTCGCGAAAACGGTCGTTTCTCCGCGCTTCTGTGGGGAGGGTCTTGAAGATAAAACGAGGGTTAATTTATAAATATTCGATTTTGCCGTTTCCGCTCGCAGCAGCGGCACCTAAAATTAAGAACGTCAGGTCGTTGTGATGAATAACAGATGTCCCGTTATTTTGGCTCTCGAGAATATTATATCTCGCATATAGCTGTTTAGCCTATATATATTTATGACGTTCTGTTTCTCGAGATTAAATAATTACCGTTGTATTGCCGAATTAGACCTGTCCAATTCTTTTCCTTAAAATAGTTATCAAGAGGTGGGCAGAGGAGATATTTTCCAACGCGAGTACCCGATATGTAAATTACGGAATATATAATGCAGCGAAAACATTTGTACAAATAGCCCAGTCATCCGATAACCGGTCGCGCGTATCGTCGAAAAGTGTGCGCAGCTGCGATATGTTAATTATCACAAACACGATGATAGTAATAATAATAATTTGCAAATGCACGGCGTGAATACGCAGATCGGCGCTCTATAAAATAGTATAACTTTGGCATATATGCATATTCCAAAAAGACAAATAAAATAAAAAACAGTATAATTGGACGGTTATAAATAACCGCACAGGTATAAGTTGCGCGGTGATGTTCTTAGAAATCTTAATTACCTTTATATGAACGTCACGTGACAATGCGCATTTAGCGGGCGGCGGCGGCGGCGGCGGCGGCGGCGGCGGCGGTGCGGGCGGCCAGGCCGGGCTGGGCTGGTAAGATGCGCTAAATCGCGTGGGTTTATTCCGGCCACGGCTCGATGTATAGTTGCGAGAGCTGAAGGGGGTAATTTCCGAACGATAATCGCTGTTTGAAGCTGTCGATCGTCCCATTACCTTCGCCCCCGCCTCCGTCGATTTACAAACGATCAGTTAGCCCCTCCGTAAACTCTCACCGGTTTCGCGTACGCGAAGATACGCGACCAGGTCGCTCGATCTCGATGTGCCGAATGTTTTAATTAATCAAGAGATCGTACCGCGAATTTTCGCGCGCGGCAGCGCAGCGGCCCGCTAAAAATACGCTCGTCAAAAGAGAATGAGGTTAAAGCGGCGAACTAATTTCAACGTTGAGAGAGCACGTTCGAGAAGGTTCGATGAACGCGACGATGAACGGAAGGCTGAAAATGGCCGACGGGAAGATTTTGTAATTTCTTTAGTGACAATCTCTCGGAATTTTGTTTATGGCAGATCGATGTGTACAAGCGGAGCGTGGTGAAAGGGCAATTCCCGTACGACAATGGTTCGTTCAAGAGCTGCCGCCGCTGTTGCCGCCGCCGACCGTTCCATTATCTCGACCGATTCGCAAACAGTAGTTATACACTCCACAGACTCACTATTTCATAGGTAAAGACGGCAGCGGCCGTGTGCCTCTCGCGATCGCGCGCAGCGAATGTTTTAATTAAGTACGAACTTAAAACAAAGTTTCGTCTCGTTGGATACTAAAAATGCGCTCGATACCCAGACGCGGGGGAGTTAAATCAGCGAACTAATTTCGAAGCGAAACACACCGCCGCCGCCGCGCGCTCGCGGCTGCTTCGATTGGACGATATAATGCGAAGGAAAAAGTCCGGAATGGCGTGGGAGATTCGGCGATTTTTCCGACTTGACTGTTATTCCAATTTATTCGAGCCGAACGAAAATAATTCGCAAACTCGTCGCGCTGTGTAAACCGAGATGCGACCATTTAAATTCCATTTGATTCTTCGAAATTCTCTCTCTCTCTCTCTCTCTCTCTCTCTCTTTGTCGGCCGATAACTTCGCGTAATTCAATTATATATCGACTCGCGAATTTTTGTTTATCGCGAATCGAAGAGGTCTCTGGGTATTTTCGTACGCGACTAGATATTGTTATTCCCCGCGCTTTGCATGGATATACATAAATGCATGGCGCTTTGTGTACTAGCTTTTATTCGCCTAGCTTTTATTCTTCTGGTTTTTATTCCTCCATGTCACGTTGCATTTTGCCGCGCGCGAGCAAGCTAGACGAGCCGTGCACAAGGTATGCATTTGTCAATATATATATATACATATATATATATATATATATATATATATATATATATACATAGATATCCGGATATCCGCCTCTTTGTCGACAATTTAATCGGACGATTTCAAGATAATTTGCAAAATTTGCGTCGGGCATTAGCGAGGGATTCGTTAATTTATTAATTCCACTTGTCATATGACATACGCCGCCAATGCATCGCACCAAAATAGCGTAGAATTATTTTTCGCACGGCGTTTTAATTCGCAAATCAGTAGCCGATTCACGCTATTGAACTTGGACGGAACAATCAAAGTATGCCTGGCACGTCAACGCGCGCACGCATGCTGAAAAATGGATTCTGATACTTCCTACGAAGAGGCTTTATTCACGTAGATTCGTTATTGTCAAACCAACGTTGATTTGCAATAGAGTAACCACAACTAAAGAATATTCTATACTTTTAATGAAATCTTATTGAATTCCACATTGAAAGTTTTTTAAATTAGATGATGTAACTCTTCAATTTATATTTCTATAAATTTTAAAATTTCTTTGCAATTAAAATCTTTCAGCAAATAGTTTATCATTCTTTTCTTACAAAAATCCAATTTAATACTAGAAATTTTATTTATTAAAAGCTGAACAATAGTGCTTTTGATGCTAAAAATAAGTAATTAATCACTTCTTTCAGTATTAAATTTCTGTATGAGTTATTAATCATTATCAAATCTCAAGATATTTACACGACGGACTACTATTCTCTCTCTCTCTCTCTCTCTCTCTCTCTCTCTCTTTTTCTCATCGCCCTTCTACAGATTTCGACGTTAAGAATCCACTTCAAGACGTCAACAGAACGTCGCGCTTTATTCGATTGTAAAACTTATATATGCTTTTCCGAGAAGAACGGAATACGCTCTGGTGTATATTTCATGCGACAAATCCGTCTCTCTCAATTCGCGTCTCGCTGTGTAATATATTGTACTTTTATCTGAGAAATATGACTGATCGCGCATACCTGAATGGATCAGTAGCGACGACAGAACGAGGAGTCGGGGCAGTAGGACGGCGAAGGCCGCGCGCAACATCCTCGCTCCCGCGGAGTGATCCTGGTGATCACCAAGATCGCCGGGGACGGGGCTCCGCGACGATGATGCGCTCGGCGCGGCGCGACGCAGCGCAACGCGACCGTGGCAGGCGGAGGAGATCGACCTATCTCCTAACTCCCGCGACCGTCGTCACTGGCGACGAGTTGTCATCGCGCCTCACACGGGACCTGGTGAGAGAAGGGGAAAGGATCGCGAGTCCACAACGTGATCCTGGTAAACACTCAACCGAGGCGAAACTCGTATGCACGCTTTTTCTTTTTTTTTTCTTTCTGCCAAACGTTCCGAATTGTTGGAAACAGCCGCCAGTGGGAAATCGATCTTCCCACGTTGGCCGGTCGTATAAAGAACGAAATAGAATACGCGCGCGATATGACGCGACGTAGTACCCGCGCGCAAGAGATTCACGCGGTTTGCCACTCGCACGCGCAACGAGAATCGGCGAAGGGATAATAAAATCCAAAAAGCACGATGTCAGCGGCGGCAGCGGCGGCGACGACGACGACGACGACGAGTATTTCAAGTACTTGCGGCAATTCGTGGCGACACGCGACACATAATTTCCTACACGGCCGCCCCTTGACTAATTGAAAATCTATATACGGCCGCGTTACACGGGTTTCCACCTTCCGCGGAAAGCAGTCGGTACTGCGGCATCGGCACCGGAGGAGGACGAGGCGCCGAGGCGCGCGCGAGAGGGTTGGTGCGGCGAGTCGAGAGGGATGGGGGTGGGAGGGGAGGTGTACCGATGTGTGAGGGAAAGGGGGAGAAAGAGAGAGAGAGAGAGAGAAAAGGAGAGAGGGAGAGAAAGAGAGAGAAAGAGACGCGACGAAGTCGAGGAGGTGGTAGCGACGGCAGTGCTGCTACTGCTGCTGCTGCTTGTGCTACTGCTACTGCTGCTGCTGCTGGTACCGCTGCCGACTGTGGTGCTGGTGGTGGTGGAGGTGATGGCAGTGGTTCTGGCGGTGGTGGTGGTTGTGCCGATGGTGGCGGCGGCGCTCGAGGAGGGCGGAAGGCCACCTGGCAGCGCGCGGGGCGGAAAGAGCGCGAGGAGGATAGAACGATCGGGGTAGAGGGTAGAGGCAGAGGTCGAGGGGGTTTGGGAGAGGAGCAGGAAGAGGAGGAGGAGGAGGACGGCGGGAGAGGGCAGGGTGAGTGAGTTCGAGTTGGTTCCTGGGCGACTGCGCCGTTCTCCAAGTCGATGATCGCTGCAAAATCTTCCGTCTCTCTCTTTCTAGCGCGAGGACCGCTCCCTCTCTCTCTCTTTTGGTGCGTTCCGTACGTACGCGCGCGTTTCTCACTTCCACGCTCGGCGTGTGTATGCGTTTGTCGTATATATATGTATATATATATATATATATATATATGTATACAGGGGTACGTGCACGCGGAAGAGGGTGGGAGCGCGCGCGCTCGCGCGTCCGTGCGGGCGCTAACGAAATTGGCGAAATACGCTCCGCTCGGAGGAGCGCGGACGGAGGCTGTGCCCGTCCGTCCCTCTCGGACTTGCCGGCGTATCGCGTCGTCGTCGTCTCACTTTCGACCGTACCGCGCCGCGCCGTCGCGCGCTACCACGACGTCGGGTCTCGACTGCGGGAAAAACGGTCGGCGGACGAGAGGATAACGCGGAAGTTAGTTGGCGATCGTTCGGAGCGATCTTCCGTACATCGGGCTTAATCCTGTGGCCCGGTAATAGGATCGACCGGCGATCCCTCCGGGAGTATCCGGCGCGACTCTCGAGATTTTCGAATTTATGGGGGAATTGCGGGCGTACGTACGCTTCTTGGACGCCAGCCGTATGGAATATGCTCCTCGCCATAAATCCGAAATTCCGAGTGGTCCGAACGACGTCGCTCCATTGTTGGGCCGAGAGTGTAAGGAGAGAGTCGTCGTCCCCGCGATTGTCCTACAAGAGACCGCCCCAATGACATTTGCCAGAGAGTCCGAGATATATTTTATTTATAAATCAAATCTACTTCGTTTCTCCCCTGATTGAATTGAGATAGAAAAAAAAACAAATCTTCGATATGAATCTAACTCGCATAGATATTTTCTGTCATATTATGTGTATGATTGAATTAGATATTTCTCTATGATATATAGCGTACTCGAAACAATATATGTAATGTGTTTCAACACTTGAAAAGATGTTATTTATGATGCTTAATAATCGGAATAAGTCATTTGGAGGAATGATTTTTACATTTAAAAAACGTGAAAAATAAAATTGGGTCACAAGTTTTTTTACTGATCAAAAATCCATATCTATTTTGTATTTCTTCTTTGTAAAAAAAATTAAATCTATCTACTTAAAATGATCTCAAATACTAATAAATTGTAGAACAATCATTAATACGACGTTTAGTTAACAATAGTGAATTTTAATTGAGATGTAAAAGCCACCCTAGATGATCGTTTATGATGGACGATTATTTACGCAATAAAAAAACTAGATAGTAAAAAACGTTTTGTATTTATGCTAAAAACAGCTCACTCAAATGTTTGTTAAATTTTTATATTGAATTTTTAACATATCCGAATGCTAATTTAATATAATGTGATTATGTTATTTGAATATTAAATTGATATTTAACACGCATTTCTTAATGTAAAAGTAATACAATTTTTAAATAAGTGAATAAAAATGAATGAATAATAATGTAGTCTAAAAACGTAAATTCTAAGAAAAATGAATAAAAATTTAATGCACGTTAATTTGACATATTATATTAAAAGTGTTAATTTTAGTGAAGAAATATGTTTCTACAAGAAATCTATTTTCAAATTGTACCAAAGCGTTACATTTTTTGTATTAATTTTTACGTAAGCTTTGTGTTACTTTCTAGCATAGTCACCTTGTATTGAATTAATACAAAAATTTAAATAGACCGTTTTTAAATATTTTTTTAATTCTACTATGTTACGTGCAATAGATCAATGCATTTCAGAAATTGCGTGAATACGGCAATATTAGTATAATGATATTATTCTAGTGACAACGTGTAATACAATTTCAGAGCTAAATCGCGAGTAAAAGAAACAGCATTATGTTAACGAACGTAATTAATGTATGCCACAGTCTTTGCGACGTGCAGCTACTCGAGATATGTAGCTACAGCGCTCCGGTACTCGGGAAATCTCGGGATGAGTATTATTCCTTATTTGAACCATAAGCTCGGTATCAACTCGCTCGCGCGACGGCGTAATGGGCTTCTCCCACGCGTTATACGTCCAAAAAAAAGGCGTAAAAAGAATAAGAGGAAGGGCGTTTCGTGCGCAGCCACTCGCGCTCGGGGAAGGAGCAACTCCACGTATATAGCGAAAGAATTTCTCTCGCATTTCGAGTTATTGCACTTGACAGGTTTCTCGCCCCTGCACTCAGTCCGCCACGTTTTACCACGGGCGAGTGCCGGGCGAGCGAGCTTGCGGCGAGAAACGGGAAATGGGAGGATAAGGCGAAAGTTAGTTGGTGATCGTCCGTGCATCGAGCTTTAATCCTTTGTCCCGGTAACGGGATCCTGGCGTTAAATCCCTTCGGTCTCCGGCATCCGCGGAGGATCTTTCGTACTTGTCCAAATAAGGGCGGTAATTTAACACCGCGCGCGGAGAGGACGAGAGCGAGAGCGAGCGGTCATTTCCACCGGCGCGCTCGTATCTCGGCCGCCGTAAAATCCCGAATTTCGCCTCTCGCGATTGACTTCTACATTATTTTATCCTTCTATCTATATTCCGCTCTCTTATTCGACCTTTAACCGTTATAGCTTTATATGAATATCACTGATAGTTCTTAAAAATTCCCAAGATTGAAACGATAATTTTTCAACGTCAGCAAATTTTGAACAAATGTGTGTAATCTCCTGTTTGTGTGCTCGATAAATTCCTGCTTTTTTTTCTCCGTTTCCAATCTTGCGTCATTCGATTTTTAGCAGCGATAGCTTTCGCGGTTGTTCTTTAAGGAAGTAACTCCCCGAAGCGATCATTTCGACCACCGGGCGAATTCCAAATAGGTCACTTGATAGACTTCCCGCTCGGTTATTTGATAGACTTTTGCGGTTTTTCGACTTTCTATCTAGCCAGCTGCCCTCTTATAGTTCTCTTGCGCTCGTCCAAATAACAACGGCGGTCTTGTAATACTTGGGAAGGATCGAAGACCGGCGATTTTGTCCGTTCGGGGGAATTTTAAACGTGAGTAATCCCGCTTTCTACTTGAGAGATTCCTACATTTTTCAGTCTGTCTATTGCGCCTTCACGCTCTTTAATCTTCAGCGGGTAATGGGGACCGCTATATAAATAGCTGTGTTTGGTAAAAGAAAGTTGGTCGGTGCATAGGTACTTTTTAATAGCTCTTTTCAGTAGCAAAGTTTTACACACACACACACACACACACACGCGCGCGCGCGCGCGCGCGCGCAGAATCTGCTGATTAATTTTGACGAGCAGTTTTTCCATATAGTTTTCATATATAATATCTTGGGAAAAGGGGAAATTCTGTTAACTGTGGAAAAACATAATATTGGCGCAAACAGTACACCGCCAGTGTTAAACGTTATTCGAGGATCGAATCAGAGTCGCGCGTCTTCGTCGCGCTCTTCGCATAGTTACACGTTACATAAAGCAGGTGGAAGAGTGTTTCGCATAGTTTCTCGTTGCCACGAGATACGCGCGCCGTGATATCATAGAATCTCTTTCGCATTTGTGAAGTTATCGCGCTTGGCTGCTCTCTCTCCTTCCCTTTCTCTAGCTCTTTCTTTCTCCCTTATGTAAATAGGATATTTCTATAATGCAAATTTTTGATTCTCTTATATATATATTTTTATTTTCTTTATGTTTTTTTTTATTTCGTGATTTTATTCGAGATAAAAAGAAAGAGCTGGGGATAAGTGCCAGGAGGCGCCGTTAAGTTCCACTGCGTAATCGTTCGAGATGATTTCTTGTCTGTATCGAGTTGAGTCGATGAATACGCGACAGAAATAATCTGACTATTTTAATTCAGCGCTGAAGTTTAATTGTCCGGCAGTTTATTCTCTGAAACGATCATTTACTGGTCACGCGAACGTGTATATTCATCGGCGAGATACGAAATGCCGCATGAAAATTAGTTTACGCGCCGTGTGATATAAGTGCAATAATTGTCCCTACAATAATTTAAATCGCGCCCGAATGTAAATCGTGGAATAAATACATTATCGCCAGCGCGGTGCATTCGTTATTACGTTCATGAATTAAACGACGAATGAATTACAATGATCGCGGGCTTTCGGCGTTATCGTTCGTCCTGACAGGTTGAGCCCTCAACGGCGAAATCACGGCATCGGGAAATGCGCGTAGATGATAGAGAAAGAGAAAGAGGGAGAGAGAGGGAGAAATGGCGGGTCGGTCTGTACGGAAACGCTACTGCGCCTGGATTCATGATTTCTTAAATAGCTCACAGTAAGTGCCTGGCAATTCGCTTCATTTACATCGTCAACACGTAAACGATGCAAGCGCAGCGAGCAACGGAATTAATGCGTAACCTTTTGCGACAGCGTTTCTGCCTCTATCTCTCTCTCTCTTTCTCGCTTTCTCCTCCTCTCTTCCGGTCACGACGCAAACGCGACCCTCGATAAAATTATACCCACGGGAGTGAAATTTTCGCAAATTAGTTAATTGAGCCGAAACCGCCGCGTTACCTTTCGATTTTTATCGAAAATTCATCCGTAAATGGCAACTGGTTTGATTACAGACGATGCGCCCCGCCGGTCCTCTCTCCCTTCCCCCTCTATCCCCGTACGCGTGTTATTACTTTAAAAACGATTAATTCAATATTTGATATCGCGTGTACGGGACTTTTCGCAATATTATTTCGTTTGTTTGTTTCATATCAATTAACAAACGCTGACTAAAAAAGATGAAAGCGGTGTGGCCGGAACGCCGCCGTGTGTATGCGGATTGCGAATCAGGACCAGATAAATTTCCGGATAAAATAGCTATTCACTTTATATACTCTCTCCTCCGCTCTCCCCGTCACGCGAGTTTCCGCGGGAGTTTCACTTTTTTTTCTTAATTAGTTTAACAGTACCTCTATGTAGTCCGACTTAATGAAAATGTTTCAATTTGAAGATTGGCTGTAATTAAAAAATTCATTATCTGCGTTTTTTTTCTTTAATTCTTTTTAAATTCGTTATCGCCGCTGAAACGCTGCTTTCTCGCTTTCGCGTTCGACTCTGAATGCAGCCAGAGGAAGAATTTTCACAAGAGGAGAGAAAAATCGATGCTGAAACTTTCATTTGCTCGCGTGTTAATTTCGATACGATCCAACCAGATGAATACGATGCACATAAAAACAGGGTTTGAAAAAATTTTACTTTATTTAATTTACCAAGAGGATTCTGCGATTTCTTTTCAAATTTACTGTCTTGTCCTGCGTCTTCAGCATTCATTTTGAGCGATTTTTTTCAATTTTTGGATTTGTCTGTTTGAAATTGACATTTTATTTGGATTTTTTGGTGAAATTTTACAGGTGGATTTTTTAAAAAGTGGGTCCAACCTAATAAAACCCACCGGGCCCATCTTGTCAAACCCTGCATAAAAATCACCCCAGACGATAACCATCTAACTTTCATGCCGTGGCCGTCATATCCGTGCCGTTTCAACACACACGTGCGGTGGACATCATCGACATAAAAGCGACGAGAGAGGAAACGAGAGGTAAGCGACGTCGACATACATATCTTTGATTACCCGTTACATTTTTTATGCCACGTGTCCACACGAGCTGAGTAAGGTGGAAAAAGAGTTTGCAATTAAATAAAACATTTCTTTTCGTCAGCGGCGGATTATGTTTTTTATAAAGTGGGCCCAACTTTGCAGTGAATTTTTGCAGACTTGATAAAATAGAGTGATATTTAAAGATCGAAAGTATTTATCGAAATCGTATGCGATTATTATTCGTCGCGTAGTTTTTCTTTTATGTGTGAAGTAGTCGAAATTGTTTTCGAATAGGCGAGACTAATGCGTTTCGATTTTCCAACGTGCCGATACGAAATCACAACATTTCAATTTCTGAGCGAGTTCCGGCTTTTTGACTTCTAAGATCTCTATCTGCATCTTCGTCGTCTTCAATTTATATCGTTCGGTCAAGAAACAAGCACTCAGAGGCGTGCCACTCGCGAACAATTTGAATATTTCCTATGGTACTCATCTGTTGAGAGGATCAATGAAATATGGCAGTAATTGGAGAGTCCCTTTGCGGAAGCGGGTAGCATCCGGTCCTCTTTTTGATATCAGATAGAGCACGATAAAACCTTTTGTACATGAAATCAGGTCGCAGCGCGCTAGTTTATTAAATATATATACGTCATAACCGTCCAACAGAAATCGATTTGTCCGCGACCAGCATCCGCGAAGCAGTCGCTATATGCTCGCGATTTTTAATTCAGGTAAGCCCCCGTCTGAACACCTTTTTAGTAATGAACAAACGATGATATTCCCTCTGTTGCATTTTAGTTCTATATTAACAGCTTTAGAATCCGTGCGATATATCGCCGCTGCATATCATAATAATTCCACGAGGTATTTTTGTTGGCCGCGCGACTCGAGATAACCCGCCCTCGAAATAAAATATCCATTGCTTTTTCTCTGGGATAACTTTGTACCGCGTGTCGAAATTCGCAATGAAATTCCAACGGTTCCACTAATGCCCTGGTGAAGTTCAATAAATATCACATAATATATTGTTTGAAGCGAATTAATATACTTTTTACTTTTCACTTTTAATTTATATACACATATATATATATATCTATACGGCAGGTTTTGAAAAAAACCGGTTTTTTTTTTTGCAAAAAGCCTAACATGAAATACATCGAGCGAATATCGGTAGAAATTAAATTTCTATTGAAGTAAAAGAGAAAAATGCGAATTACCGCTTACCGGCTTTTCCTCACATTACATACAACAAAAATCTTGCGTCTGCTCTTTCACTGATTTTCTTTTACATATACAACACATAGTATCTTAGGATATCTTGAATCCGCCGCATATTCCGGGATTCGCGTTTGAATAACGTATTTGCAAGGACGAGCACGGAAGCAAATCGCGCAGGGTGATTTCTGCGGAGCGGAGCTGAGCGGAGAAACGACTAAATTCGGCTAGCCGGCTAAAAATTCAAATCGTCTGAATGCTAAGCATCCAGGGAGCTTATCTGCTCGCCAGACTGCGGAATTAAGATCGATATGCGGGATCGTTCCGTCTGGCAGCGGGGGCCTCGGCCACGTTTCTTGTAGAGCCCTACGGTAATGTCGGTCGAAGAGTTACAACGCTGCCTGGCACCGTCGAAAGCAGGCAGCGCCAGCATCTTGGAACGTGAAGGAAATTCCTCAACCCGCTCTGCTTGCCTGCATTTTTTACGTCTTATATTTATACAATATTTATCAGAGCAAAATTTTCTGTCCGCAACCCCGAGCGACATTGTATCGATCCAACGAGAATAGACGTCGAAATCTCTTTGTTAGATTAAACTTAATATAATATAAAATTTATAATATTTATATTATTCCAAACACATTAATAATTAAAGTTTTATTGGATTACTGATACTGATAACACACGCAATGTTGTACGCTTACTATACAAACCCGATCTGCTCTCTCTTTTGTGAAAGTATCCTAACCATAATCCACTTTGGAGCTGTTAGAAATTTGAGAACGTTACAAAGTTATCCGTTCATAAATGGAGATCCAAATGCGAGCGATCTATTGTAATTACCATTCGCCTGCTCTGAACTTCCGGTTAATCCACTCGACAGCAATCATTTCATCAAATGGTTTTCGAATTTCGATTGTCGCTCATTTTACAGGATATAAAACCGACACGTTTGTACGCCGGGCCATTTTCGATTGCTATATAATAGACTTTGCCTCCATAATACAGTGTTCATACACCGGCATTTCAATGCGCATAATTAAACGCGCGAATCGCCGAACGACGAACGAGTGGCAGAGAGAGATTGAGAGAGAGAGAGAGAGAGAGAGAGAGAGAGAGAAAAAATAAATAAAACTCCGAAGCGTCACTTCAACAGGTCGTCATTCCGTTGTCGCTTGCGAATTCATTAAATCGCATTTAATCAATTACGCACGTTCGACATCTTCTTCCGCCACTTTCCGGACTGACTTCTCTCGGCCAATTTAGCCGATCTCGATAAAACGATGCGGATGTTTATTCGACGGCGAATCGACTGCGCGACGATCCGGTAAATACGCGATGCATTTAATCGGCGCGCGCGCGTGCGATCCTTCCAAAAAGTTTCTTCTGCCTCGATGTTGATCCTGTTACCAGAGAGCCAGAGGATTAAGCACGATACACGGACGATTGCCTTACACGATCACCAAGTAACTTTCACGTTATCGTCTCATCCACTGGCCGTTTATCCTGTGCAGCTCGGCGCCGCCGCCGCCGCCGCCGCCGGTCGGCCAAAGAAGAACCCGACCCGGAGTGCGCCAAGGCGAGAAAGCTATCGAGTTACGGAAACTCCCGAGTGTGAAGGGAAACTCTTTAATGTTTTCGCCGCGTTCTCCTCTTGTCCCCGCTGCTGGGAATTTATTTAATCGATGCAATAGCGAGATACACGTCCAACGAATATTCTAAATGCGTCTTCGTGTATTTCACATGAACTAACTAACGTTTTAACTATAAGAGTTTCCCTCCGTCTCCCTGTCTAACACTTGTTTCCAAAAACTTCTTTCATTTTCTCGCTTTTTAAAATTTCGTTTGCTTGTACAATACATTGCAACTAAAGATTATAATTAAGATTATAATATCCGTACATTCTTCTTTTCTTTTCTCCGCTTCTCAATATATTTGATCTCATTTCTCGTAATATCATGTTTGTTCTCGATATCTTTACTTTGTAATATTTGTTTTCTTATGTCCAGGTTTATTTGGTTAGGGATTGTAACAGTTGCTTTGCTGTCGCCTCACGCATTTGATAGTCTATTTTTTGTGTAATTTACTATCATCATTGTATTCATTTTATATAATGCATGCAAAAAGTTATTATTAATACTTATTGATATTACTGTATAATATTTATAAATATTATTATATGTAATATTCTTCGCAGTGTTTCATTTATTAGCATCGTATTTCTAAAATTGAAGATCAATTGAATTGTGATCTTATTATTCCAGGTTCAATTTATGATTGAGTTACAAGTCTGACAATATTTGCATGCAATTTAAATAAAAAATGGATTTAGAATTCACATAGAAGAGCCAGCCTCAATCGTTGAATGCTCTTCTCTAATTTAATTGTGTTATTAATATTATTATATTAAATAGAATTTCGTGGCCCGATTATTAGGTGAATATTGGGATCTAACGGGTCTCTACGATTCAGTCGTTTCCTTTCGCTCTTTTTCCATACCACTCTTTCCTCTCAATGTTTAATCGAGCGAGGAGGATGGAAATCTATTTGTTTGGAGCCTTAATATCATCCGTAGATAGATAATCAAATATTGAAAGAATATATGATATCCTACTTTGCGAGGATATTTTTCTCCGAGAATATTTTTCTTCTATTTCTGAGTCAATGGATAGGAATGATTGTTACAATTTCCAGACATTGAGATGACCTCTCTCTCTCTCTCTCTCTCTCTCTCGGTCCATCAGATTCTCGCGGGGAAGTGGTGTTATCGATAACCGCGCGACATCCGAACGCGTTAAATAAAGCCAATGAAATTCTTGAGAACTTGGCGGCGGCTGATCCCTGTTATCAGATTATGGAACCGACTTCGTACACCGAGGCATCTACCTTAACTTTTTTTATTGCCAAGTAACAATCGTACGGCTGTTGCCGATAGGAGCGAGGAAGAGTCATCTGGATCGTGTCTTATCGACACGAGAGAACGTATTACTCACCAGTTTTAAGGCGCGGCAACTTACGCGGGGGTTGACCTATCGTTGACACGTCGATAAAATTGCGCGGTGCTGCACTTACGCGAGACTGCTTAAAAAAATTATACGAGCTTAAAAGTTGCCGCTTCGAAAACTCGTGGTCGCTCTCATGACGACGACGACGACGACGACGACGACGACGACGACGACGGCCTCTGCTTCGTCTCGGCCTCCTTCCGAAAGAAACCAGGATGGCGCGCGAATGGGGGATGATAATGCACGCAAACGTTACATAATGGTCGTCTAGCATGATCTGTGTTCTTAATTCTAGTTGAATAAAAAGTCGAATAATGGCGGAAACTCACTCACATGTTTCCTCAGAAACAAAATGCCTCCCGAAGACGAATGCGCTGCTATTACCGCGTTAGCTGAAAAAGCATTTCTCTACGTTCGTATTCGTCCATCCGGCCAACGCCTTTTCGCGGGCTGTGATATTTGCGGTCGAGTGAATGGACGAGAGGTCCGATATGTAACATTCACGGCTACATTTCCGAAATGTTCCGCTACCGACTTTAAACTTGAATTGATTGTCGCTGTAGCGCGATCTATTGTATCCTCGTTCTCCATCCGCGCGAGCTAACTTTGCTAAAAACTGTGCTACCGTGCGAAATTGATAGTTTGCAGAATATTCTGGAATCTGATCTTCAGCCTTATAGTTATTCTATTTGATTAATCGACTCGAGATTAATTCCAAAACAATTTATTACTGTTGAGTTGCCGTTTACAAATAATTTTTCTTAATTTTTGGAGCAACTT